AGTGCCCAAAACATCGAATTGCAGCTGCATTCAGGTGGCTCCCGCAGCCCCTTTGTGCTGATGGGCAGCAGTGCTGACCCGAAGGGTAGGTTTGTCCTGCTCCTGGCCCCGTCTCCCGTGGGGCGAGGATTACTCTCTGCTGGAGCTCGGAGGAGAGCTGCCTGCGAATCAGCCCCTCTGCCATTCCCTGCGAGCACGTCGAAATATGCAGGGAGTGGCTGCGGAGCCGCTGCTGCGGAAGAGGGTCTGTGGTTTTGATCATTCCTTTGGTCTTCCTCATGTTTTACCCAATTCCATCGCACCTTTCTCCAGCTGGAGGCACAACGTTCACGGAAGGATGCACCACGTGCTTACGTGGCAGCACGTTGATGTTCTCCGTTCAGCCCTTTTTGCTCTTTCCTAATAATCCGTGCCTGGAGTGGCAACAGCCAGCGCAGGAGCCACCGCCCCAGACGAACCCAACACTGCCATCTTCTTCCACCAGCTCTTTATCCAGGGAATGACCATCCTCTTGGTCCCAGGTGGCAGAGCCCTTGGGAAGGTCCATGCCATGGGCTGCAGCAAGTCCTTCATGGGATGGTGCCACCCCTGCACGACCCAGTGTCCCTCCAGAGGTGGCTCACTCGGGTCTGGGTTGTCCACTTCCCTGCTCTTCTCTTCTTGGTTGAGGTTTTTGTTGGAGGCAAGAGTCAGATTTGCTGATCTAGGGTTCCCGTGTGTCCTCCCTGGACTCTTGGGGTAGCTGTCACCCTGCTCCTTCCACTTTTCTGCTCCAGAGGCAATATTACGCGTGAAGATCCCACCCAATCGTCCAGCCCTTTCCCACCTGAACTGCAAACGTTTTATTGCTCAGCTGGTTTCCTCCCAGTCCTCCAGGACTTGGGGGTGCTGGGGGATGAAAAGCTGGACATCAGCCGGCCGTGTGCGCTGGCAGCCCAGGAATTCAACTGTATCCTTCCAGAGAATTGTGGCCAGCAGGTTGAGGGAGGGAATTCTCCCCCTCTGCTCTGGGGAGACCCCTGCAGTTCTGGGTCCAGCGCTGGGACCCCAACAGCAGAAGGACACGGAGCTGGTGGAGCGAGTCCAGAGGAGCCCACGGAGATGCTCCGAGGGCTGGAGCCCCTCTGCCATGGGGACAGGCTGGGAGAGTTGGGGTGTTCAGCCTGGAGAAGGGAAGGCTCCGGGGAGACCTTAGAGCACCTTCCAGTGCCTGAAGGGGCTACAAGGAAGCTGGGGGGGACTTTTTCCAAGGGTCTGTAGTGACAGGACAAGGGGTAACGGGGTTAAACGGAGAGAGACTGACATTGGACATCAGGAAGAAATTCTTCCTGCAGAGGGTGGGGAGGCACTGGGACAGGTTGCCCAGAGAAGCTGTGGATGCCCCCTCCCTGGAAGTGGCCAAGGCCAGGGCGGGTGAGGGCTTTGCCAACCTGGTCTAGTGGAAGGTGTCTCTGCACATGGCAGGGGGGTTGGAACTGGATGGTCTTTAAGGTCCCTTCCAACTCCCACCCAAACCATTCCGTGATTCCATGATTCATTCTGTGATTTTCTCCTCTCGGATGCTGAGGTGGGATGGACCGTGCCGAGGGGCTCTGCCCTGACGTCATCCCAGCGCCCGGCTTTTTCGCTATGAAACACGCTGCTTCCAGCTCTGGCTCACCCCACACATTCCTCGTGTTGTGTATCCACCAGAACAGGGATAGTTCTTCGGGTTTTAGGCTTTTAATGGGGCTTCTCCTTTTTTTTTGTATTTTAAAGTACGTAATTTTACATTGAATTCGGTGGAGTCCGTGGTCTTTTCCTTTTTCCCATTTGAGCACAGTTTAACTTCATTTAACCGTTGTAGCTGTTAGGGGTCTCTGACATGTGGCACATATCTCCAGGTTTTCAAACCATTTCCATGCTGCCAGCAGGATTTAACCCTTTCTGCTGCTCCTTTCTGCAACTCTTTAACACGTTTTCTCCTTTTTGCATAGTTTTATAGTTTATGGTACTGAAATTAAATTCAACTGCGGTGAGTATCTTTAGGGGGTTTTTTTTATCCTCTTTTTTTTTTTCCTTTCCTGCAAGTTTATTGGAGTACATCCTAGTTTCTGTCCCAGAGTGGTGCTTGCTTGGTAGGTGAGCAGCGGTGACACCGTCCCGTGCACCAGTGACCAAGCAAGCCGTGGAAAACGAGTGGGAGGTCAGCTCACTAGCACACCCCTCGTAATAAATACGCAAACGGGACGTGGATGCACACAACCGGATTCGCGGAGCGCGATCGGTCTAACCCTGGAGGGCTTGGGGCTGCAACCCCAACTCTTAATTTAGCTCCTTGCACCGCTCAGTGATTGGGCTAATTAGCAACACCCCCAGCACCCTGTGTCCCTTTGGAGAAAGCAACAAACCCAATTCCCTTTAAGAGAAGTGAAAAAACTAAATTTCACCGCTCCCATTGCAACCGTGCGTCCCTGTGAGTTCGGCTTGATGCGGAAAGCTGAAATTAAATTTGCAAATTCAGCCAGACCGGGGGAATAACCTGGGACAACCTGCACCAACACCGCCCCGGGCGGGTACCGCGATGCGCGCGCCCACGTCGTGTCTCGGGGAGCGTTGCTGGCCAAGAGATGTTGTCCTTCGTGTTTGTCACGTGGTGAAAACGGGGCTTACGGAGCCCAACCCCAGCTCGAGGGGGGGAACGCTGCGGCTGGCGGGGGGAGCAAGAGGAGCGTTAATAGCGGCAGCGCTGTAAATCACTGCATTTTACAGGAAAACCTCTAAATGGCTCAGCACGGCAAAGATCCTCCCCGACTCCTGAGACATTTCCCAAGCAGCTTGAATCAATTTGTATGGAAACGTGTGTGTGCACGGCTCAGCTGGGGCTCCGTCCTGGCTGCCCCGGGTGGTGCGCGGGGGCTGCGAGCGCGGTTTGAAGCTCCTTTGCTCTTGGCATTGCCGTGTTCCTCAAATGTACCATCGGTGGCTTGTTAATTCTTTGGAAACTTGCTGAAAAGGAGGAAAAATTAAAAAGAAAAGGCAGCAAAACCCGCAGGAGAGGGAAAATGAGCTGCTAACGCTGCGCTTCTGCTTGTCCCCGCAGCGTCACCCTGCCCGACGTCCTGGGGAAGCCGGCCAGCACCCACCTGGACCAGAGCATGTACCGGTTTCGCAGCACCAACCTGGAGCAGATCGTGAAGGCGGCCCTGAGGCTCAAGCACGAGGACTCGAGCCTGTCGGCAGCGCTGGAGCAGGCAGAGGACTGGCTCTCCAGGCTGAAGAGGAGGTAACGCTCTGCCGTGCTGGTGGGAGCCGCTTTTCTACTTGGGGCAGGGGTGTCTTGCTCTTCCCAAGCCCTCCGTCGCGGTGCTGTTCCGGTGCGAGGGCTGGGAGCGATTACCCAGCAGCGCGGTGGGAAGCAGAGAGGACGCTGCTGTCACCCGTGGAGTCCTGGGCCCTCACGTGAGGGTTGCACCTGCATCCCACCCGCGGTGATGCAGAATGAGTGAGGAAGGCGCTGGGTTTTGCAGCTGGACGTTGAGGTTTAGCTTTGTTCATGGCAGAGCTCTATGGCACAGCCAGTAAACCCTCAACCGAAGATGCTAGAGTGGCCTAGGTTGGCCATGGAGTGCAGGATTTGGGGAAATGTGGGGCTGCTCTGCCCTGGCCATACCCAGCCAGGATCCTGAGCTGCTGAGATGGGATTTGGTGCAACTGCTCTCACCCCATGGGCGTCGGTTGGCAGTAGGACTCGGAGCATGGCTCCTCTCCAGCCTCTCGCGTCTCCCCGTGGCTGATGTGCTCATTGGGAGCGCCCTCCGGTTGGAAACGACGCCTTTTTTGTTTTTCCAGCCCCAGAACAGCCTGCCCGATATCGTGATCTGGATGCTGCAAGGAGACAAGCGCGTGGCATACGCCCGTGTGCCGGCCCACGAGGTCCTCTTCTCCCAGGGCATCTCCAGCTGCTGCGGCAGGAACTGCGGGAAGCTGCAGACCATCTTCCTGAAGGTACCTTGGCTTCCGATGCCCGTGCCTGGTGCTGATTTGTAAAATATTTTCCCCTGGAAAAACAAAAAGTGAGAGAAAAAATCGGACAGGGAAACCTGAAATCCCAACACAATGAGCGCCCAGGGCTCCAGCGACCCTCAGACCCTATTTTGACCTTGTGAAGCTGGTTCCACCAGACCCGGTTTCGACCCTGTCGAAGCTGATTCCCGCACCGTAAGAGCCTGGTTGTGCGTCTGGTTGGCGTCCGGCTCCTCTCCTGCTGGATCTGCAGCAGATGCCTGTGAATATCTCCATGTATTCTGCAGGTTCCAGGGAAGATGGGTGCACTTTAGCCCAGATAGTACTTGTTTTTTAAAAAAAGAAAATATTTAATTTTTTTTTTTAATGTTATTTTATGTTTTTCAAAATTCCTGACCCTCTGCCACTCCAGGAAATTTAAGCTGCGGCCTCCTCTGCCAGGCACTTACCGAGCTTCTCACATCTCCAGTGATATTTCTTTGGCCTTTCGCTGCGTGCCAGGTTGGGAGCAGACAATCAGCGAACAAGCTCTAAAAAAATAAAGTGAAATAAAATAAACTGAATAAACCCCCAAAATCCCAAGCCCAGCTGGCAGCAAAAGACGAACCAAAATATATTGGGTTTTTTCTGCGCTTTAGCTCTGGATGGAAAACCAGCATCACTTGAAGAGGGGGAAAAAAGGGACTGAGAGAGAGAAAAAAGGGCAGTGAGACATCTCCCTGTTCATTCTTTCTATTTTTGTGAAGTATGTTGGCTGGGTTTGGTGTCTTGGCCCTGAAGGGTGTCTCACCGAGACGCAGAAACCCTGACAAGTGGGACTTTGAAGTTCCTCGAGGTCATCCCCAAAGGGCTCTGCATGCTTTGATGTTGTCCCAATTCCCAGGGATGCTCCGTGTCCCACCTACCCCTGCTGGGGTGATGGGGGAGGTGGGGGCTTCCTGCCCATCACCTCCAGCCTTGCATCCCGAGCATCCCCCATGAATATCCACGAATATTAATGGGCCTCTGGCTTTGGCAGTACCCCCAGGAGGAGGCGACAGGTCCGAAGATCCCAGCCCAGATCCGGGTCCAGCTCTGGTTCGGGCTGTCTGTTGACGAGAAGGAGTTCAACCAGTACGCCGAGGGGAAGCTCTCCGTCTTCGCTGAAACCGTGAGCATCTCGCAGGGACCACCCAAAGGGGATGGTTTTTTCTCTCCAGTGTGGGAAACAGCTCCACCACGGAGGGAAGGGGGTGGGCTGGGGTGTCCGTGAGGGCACTGCCTGGTGGGGGTCGCATCAGTCCCTAGAAACAGCCGTTTCCACCAGCATCCCACCTGAAAGGCTGGGGAAGAAGGATGGCGAAAAAAAGGAGGGGGGGGGGAAGGGGGGGGGGCGGGAGCCGTAAAGCTGCACTGTGGCTTCGCACCTCCTCCTGCCTGCTGGGGGGTGCCCATGGGGGCAGAGGGCTGGTGGGGGGGGTGGTTGGGCACTTCCCAGGAGGTCTGCCTTCAGGGTGGGATGCTCCAGGAAGGAATGGATTATTCACGGGATTCCAAAAGGTTTATTCATGGGATTTTGTGCCTCCAACACAAACATCTCTCTGCTTTTGCTCCCCCAGTATGAGAACCAGACCAAGCTGGCACTGGTGGGGAACTGGGGCACCACCGGCCTGACCTACCCCAAATACTCAGATGTCACCGGCAAGATCAAGCTGCCCAAGGACAGCTTCCGCCCCTCCACGGGCTGGACCTGGGCCGGAGACTGGTTCATCTGCCCGGAGAAGACGTGAGTGATGGTTTTCTGCCAAGTGCAGAGCCTGGGTGGGCTGTCCCGCACCTCCAAAATCTGAGGAGATGCTAAGCTTGTGGCAAGATCCCCCAAAAGCTGGATGGGGATCTGGCCTGCCGTGGGGGTTCCTGCTCTGCCTGCCCCATCCTTGGCAGGCAACGACGTTGATGCAAAACGCATCGTCTCCGTGCTGGGAGATGTCCCTGGGGCGGTGGGTGCTGCGCGGGCGCTCATGGACACCATGGCCCCGGCACCCAGCTCGCTGGGGCGCCTGTGCAAGCCCCACACCGAGGAGCTTTGGGTTTGGGATCCCAAAGGGGGGCACTGAGGATGCTCAGCACAGCTCTGCCATCTTCTCCTGTTGGATTTCCCGGCTGTTTTGGGGGTTCACCTGAGCCGGGTTGCTGAGGTCTCGTGGGAGCTTTGCATCTGGGGCGGAAGAGGTTCAGGAGGCAAATTGTGTGCCGAGGTGGCATGGCTGGCCGTGGAAGGAAGACGCGAGACATGGCTGCCCGTGCTGCTGGGAGGGCAGGAGGGGGAGCCCCTGATGCCGTGCGTCTCCCCGGGGCGCAGGTTGCTGCACGACGTGGACGCCGGGCACCTGAGCTTCGTGGAGGAGGTGTTTGAGAACCAGGTCCGGCTGCCCGGAGGCCAGTGGATCCACATGACCGATGCCTACACTGACGTGGTAAGGATGAAGTGGGCAGCCCGGGGCTGAGCTGTGGTGGCAGGAAGCCTGTGGGGGCTCAGTGAGGATTTAGGCATCTGCTGGGCACCTTTTGGTTGAAAACACCCCCTCTATCCCACAGAACGGAGAGAAGGTCCTGAATAAGGATGAGATTGAGTGTCCTCCGGGCTGGAAGTGGGAAGACGTGGAGTGGGACACAGACCTCAACAGAGCTGTGGATGAGAAAGGTATCAGAAAGCGGTTTGGGGCATCCCTGCCATTTTCATCCCCTTTTTTCTGCCCACCATGGTGTTTCCTTCCACAGTCCCATCCAGCGCCAGGGATCACAACATCCCCTTGGTGGCTGTACGAGCTGCCCCGCGGGCTTCAGGAGAAGAGGCCGGGCTCTGGGGGTACCCCTCTCCCCCTCGCTCTGTCCCAGGCTAGGGCTATGGGGTGGGCAGCCACAAAGGCAGCACTTCCCTTGGTGCTGGGGATAATCCAGGCTGTTCTTCTGGAAGATCTTCCCTGACTTCTGGTGGAAGAGACATGGGGAGCATCAGGCCAGAGAGCATTCAGGGGGTCACAAGGGTTGGGGGTGCCTGAGGAAGGAAGGACAGAGAGGAGAGTCTCCAAGGACTGGTGGGACACTGTTAAGTCCATCACCTGGGCATTCCCAGTAGGATACATTGCTATCCGTGTGGACCAGCAAACTGGGAAAGGGCGTTGTGTCGGGACAAACCTTCAAGCTGGTCCAACCTGGACGTACGTGCAGAGAGGTCCCAGGTGGGGGGGCTCTTCTCTTGCCCTCACCCAGGTGTTTCCTTGTCTCCAAGGCTGGGAGTACGGCATCACCATCCCGCCGGACCGCAAGCCCAAGGCCTGGGTGCCGGCCGAGAAGATGTACCACACCAACCGGCGACGGCGCTGGGTGCGGCTCCGCCGGAGGGACCTGGCACAGATGGAGGCCATGAGGAAGGTGGGAAGGGACCAGGGAGAAGTGGGTGGGAGTGGATTCGGGCCGTGTCCCTGTCTCTCCGTGTACAAGCGGGAGTGCTTGGCCCCTGCGGACACCTGCTGCTGGTCGGAGCCCGGTGGCCCTGGTCTCCGTCCGGGAGCAGTGTGGGTCCCCACGTCGGGGGTCATCAGCATCTCCCAGAGGTGGAGACCACTTGGTTGGGCTGCGGGTTGGGACAGGGACCTCCAGCAATGCCACAAAGCTGCTGGGAGGGCTGGGGCTGGCAGAGGTCCCGTCTGTCCCCCGTCCCGCTTCCCTCCAGGTGGCGCAATCGGACCGCAAATGCCACCGCAGCGCTGCTGCTCTTCCCACCCCCCGCGGGCTTCATCAGCATCTCCCAGAGGTGGAGACCACTTGGTTGGGCTGCGGGTTGGGACAGGGACCTCCAGCAATGCCACAAAGCTGCTGGGAGGGCTGGGGCTGGCAGAGGTCCCGTCTGTCCCCCGTCCCGCTTCCCTCCAGGTGGCGCAATCGGACCGCAAATGCCACCGCAGCGCTGCTGCTCTTCCCACCCCCCGCGGGCTCCCCACCACGCTTTTCTCCCTTTCCAGCGCTGCTTCTAGATAATTGTAGGTGGAAAACAGGGACAACCCCTGTAACCCCTTTGCCAAAGGGGATGTAAGTGTCACAAGGAGGTGACAGGGCTCAGGGCTGGTGACTGATGCCCTTGAGAAGATGCCACGTGGTGCCCTGCGGGGGGGACCGAGGTGATGGCCAAGTGGGAGGCAGGATGGGGAGATGGAGACACTGGTGCTCCACAGGTTTGGGCAGGATGTGGCCCTCTCCTTGCTCAGCATGGGCAGCCCCCAGCCCAGTGACCCTTCGCCAAGTGGGGTTCACCCCAGGGACTGGATGAAGGCCCCAGTGGTGGACTTGGCAGTGTTGGGTTAATGGTTGGACTCGATGATCCTAAGGGTCTTTTCCAACCTAAATGATTCCATGATTCTATCCTATCACCCTCAGCTGGAGAGATGGATGGGGACATGGGGTGGGACAGCTTCAAGGCAACAGCTCGAAGATGCTGGACCCAGGTTTGGGTGGGCACAACATTGGCCCTGGGGGGTCCTGTGGACAAGCAGCTTTGCCACTCGGCTATGCCAGGGTCCTGCCACCTGCAGAGGGGCTGTGGGGTGGTAGGACTGACCCCCCACCTGAGTCCTAGCGTGTCCCTGCCCGGCAGCACAAGCAGGAGGAGCTGGATGGGGAGGGCTGGGAGTACGCCTCGCTCTTCGGATGGCGCTTCCACCTGAAGCATCGCCGGACCGACACCTTCCGCCGGCGCCGCTGGAGGCGCCGGAGGGAGCCCCTGGAGCGCCCCGGGGCCGCCGCTGTCTTCGCCTTGGAGGGGGCTCTGGTAGGTACCTGCCTTTCTCCCCAAAATCACTGCCTGCGAGGGAGAGCCCGGTTGGGCCTGCTCCTGCCCTCCATCCCGGAGAGCAGACCTGGAGCAAAGCTCGTTATCTGCCGCCTGCACCAGCGCTGGTTGTTTAGCTCATATTCTGGCTTTCTCAACACGCCTGATTTCACAATCCTTTGGCTTTCCCAATAGCTAAATGAGAACCAACCACAGCAGCACAAAGCCCCTATTATAGGGCTTTTTATTATTTTTTTTTTCCCCATTTGGCTTCCCCCTCCCCCCGCCCCTTTCTCTGCTACATCCTACCCTCCGACCAGAGTTTGA